TTTTTTTATCCGACATCGATCTTTTGACGTCGTCCCTTAGTATAACCAGTTACATCACAACATATCGTACATCAGTGGCGTGTCATATCAATTTAAAGAGGACACACTGATCATCAAATGATAGTTACCATGACTACAAGTGCAACCTCCCCATTTCGACAGGGGGCCAAACTCAACAAACTATCCTACTCCGAGGCATGTTGGTCTTTATGTGCCCTTTAAATTATCAGTTTGCAAAATAAAATGTTCACAAAGTCAATCTGAGACTATCATACAAATACAAACTCGTAAACATTATGTTCAACATTTATTAATAATTTTATCACCATCTAATGGAAGTCTACAATATAAAAAACATTTTTGTTCAAATTTTTAAAAATACTTTCACTGAGGCAACATTATCTTTCATATTGCATACATATTTACATGCAAAGGGACTCAAAATTGCCTCGTAAAAAAAAAACTAAACAAAATCTTCTAGTTGAAAAATTCTGTAGTTGAAACACTATTGCTACTTCAGAGAAATTCTGGTGGTTAAACACAGAACATATATAAATGCAGATGAACCAATAGAGGGCGTACTTTATAATGAAAATAAGCAAACAGAGGGCGTACTTTATAGTTGAATAAGAAGGCGCACTTTATAAATCGTCAATAGAGGGCGCATTCTGTAAAACATTTAATACATATACCGGTAGATGGGAAATCAAAAAGAAATAATTTAATATAGAGACCAGATAATTTAAAATAAAATGATGTTTTCCCAACCAGATTACAACAATTTGTTCCGTACTTATTAAATATTAATGCACATTCAAATGCTACATGATACCTGGAAACGTTTGTCAGTTGGGCCAATAAATGAAATACCTTTGTTCAATCTGCTTCGTTTTAAAAGAGGGAATGCTAATGAGAACATTTAGAAGTTTGTTATAGATTTCTAATGTGCAAACAGCCATATTATAAAATTTGAAAAACCACAAGACTCCCTAAGATACCTGAATCTAATCTAATTATCAGACTTGGCAAAATTGAGAAACTACTGTACAAGATTGAATGAGTTCTTGTGCATGCATCCTTATCCAAAAATTTAATTCAAAATGATCAAGACTCGCTAGAATTCAAAAATTTGATATGTCTTAATCTACTATAATTATAAGTGACATTCTAAAAGGTACTGCTGGAGTTTTGACAGACCCTAGAAATATTCATAAAACCTAATTAGGTGTATTAATATTCAAATAGGTGATAAAACAATGTAAAGAAAGTGTTCGTCTACCTATAACTATTCTTCACACACGAACATGTCCCTTTGCAAAATAAACGTCATAATGCTAAATTAATCAAATAACTCCATGAGGACTCAACATCCTCGCTTTGTTTATTTTAGTTATTTCTGTTTCTTCCTTCAATGAATGAATGCATGCATGCATGGTATTTCTATTTCCCTTACTGTGGTATTTATCAGTATTTTGAAAGTGTCAAATCACGCTAGAACATGCAAGCAGCCATAGTGTTTGATATCAGCAATGCAAGATAACTAATTGCATACATTGGCTACATTGTATGCATTTGAGTTTTGCTTGCATTTCCTAATCCTATCCAGACTCGACTTGTTTGATTATTTTACTTCTTCAGAGAACCCTTTGTTGCCATGACTACCTAGAGACAGATAATCAAACACACCCCAAGTTGTCAGGATGTGTGGAAGATATTAAGAAATTGACGAATATTGAGCAGGTGAATGTAGCACTAACTTTAGGCTCTTATTTAGGGGTCAATGACCACTAAAAATGTGAATAAATGTTCATGGCTTGAAGAATTACAGTAAAACATTCAGCAATGTGGAAATGAGTTGTTTTTCAAGAGCTTGACCTTGACCTTGACAGTCGGAAATTATCTCTTAGTACTGAATAAAATACAGGAAAGGAAAGAAATATAAGCCATTCAATGTGTTAGAATGCGACAATTAAAATCACAAGTAGCAAAACAGAGGGCACCACTGATCAAAAATCAAACCAGAACTCCTACAACATGCCACTTCTGTGGAATTAAATAAATGATTATTACAGACACAAAATAAAATTGCTATACAAAAAAGTGCAAAGCTCTGAAGAATACAATACTCTAAAATGACAATGTATGCAGAAATCCAATTTTTGTGATCCCCCCACATTATAACAATAGTGCGACTTTTACACGATTTTAATAATATTTGCAGACTTTGATCAAAATGCTATGCAGGCTACTGAAAGAAGAGCATTTGACGATTATGGCAGATAGCATTTGATGTTATTATTTTTCTGAAAAAAAAAAAATGAAAAGTAGAAAAAGTAATTGTCGTCATCGTCATCATTATGTTTGAATTCAGCCTCATTCCAATTCAATATATAACATTAAGGTCACAAAATGCATATAAATGTAAGGACTTGGACTATTATCAAATGAAACTGTGTTGATCGGTATACACATCAAGGAAGTTGGGTTAAAGCCACAAAAAATGACACTGCTTTGTAAAACCATGACAGAAACTGCAATGGATGTCAGTGACTCATGACAACATTTACGTGATGAGGTTTTTTTTTAAATGAGAAATGTACTCTTGTCAAATTACACTATACAGTGTAGGGGTGAAATGACAGCAGGGTTGACTCAATTTCATGTATGTTGTACAATGCCATAAGAAAACTTTCGGGAATCTACCAGAGAAAACTGAGTCATTTTTGAAAGGCGACACTTGAAAATCAAGGAAAACTACTACGTCAAGCAAGGTTATTTCAGCTAATACCATCGAAGTATGTAGAAGCCAAATATTGTGCATATATACGGATAGGGGACGGCATTCTTCTTACTGGATGTGCACTCGTTGCTTCCCGATGAGCAACGCACAGCTAGTGAAACCACCGCCAGCTTTCCTGAGCTCGCTACGAGCCAGTGCAATACGTCGCTCATTGCCCATTTTCTCTTCAAAAACCTGAAAGTGAAATTTTTAAAAAATGACAAATTGAAGCATTTCACTTCTTTTATGTACACAGCTGGCACCAGTAATTAGGTGCAATGACTCACAAAACAAACTGTGTTTAGTTAATTGTCATTCCGAAAAATTTATTTTTACTGACTAAGGATCAAGATTAATAAATTAATGATGTTAATTGCATTCCACCGATTTAAGCCATATTTAAGTCATTACACTAATGATAAAAATACATTTTCTACTGACCTGAAAACTTTCTGGAAACTCCTCTTTACACACATGAAGAAGAGAGCCATTTAGATAGAGACAATTGGATGCATAGTCCTCTGGCAATGTTAGGGTCTCGTAGTCATACTCGCCTTTCAACTCCATCTCCTGTATTGATAAAAAATAATAGTTAAGCCAAATAAGAAAATTGTCGTCCCAGGGTAAAATGGGAAAATGATGCATTTTAAATTTTTTTTTTGTATTAACCTATCACCGCCTGATACATATACAAATCATAAACACGTATAGGTGAAGTCTGACAGGGATAGTCAGTGGATATGGGTCAATTAAATGACGATGTTCATTACTGAGAAAGATTTTCTTCAAAAATGCAGAAATGAGGATAAAGGAATAAATTTGCAATCAATGTGTGAAAAAGAAGAAACGTGATCTTAATTCAAAGAAACTCAGACAGTGTTCATCCCAGAAGCAGACGGATGCAGCATTTGGTCTGATAAGAAAGTTATGCACCAATTGAAACTTGGTGTTAGTATCCCCAAGTATTCACAGGGGAACGTCTTATAGTTCCCCCATCCTATTTTTATGTCGGTGATACAGACATGAACACATACATGTACAGGCATCGATTTAATAGTTTCCATTTTCTGACTTTGCCCCAGTACCATAAACATACATGTAATAGATCAACAGACAGGTGGATGATTACCTTAAGGGTCTTCTTGGCTGCTGCGCTGGTTCCAACCGCTAACACATCAGGGCCAGCTACTGAGACCAAACCTTTGAGATGCAGATGATCGGTTATGTTTACTGATGAAACACGATAATCAGGGAAAGCCTTAGCAACAGCCAACGCACCAGCTTGATTTGTTCGAGATGAAATACCAACGAAGAATTCTTTACCTACAAGCAAAATACGATTTTCCATAAGTTATCAAAACGATAATAACGACTAGTTAAGGGACCTGTCATTATTTGTCGTCTGAAGGGAGTCGAAGGAATAATAGGCTCCATAGTAGTAAGGCAATAACAAGTTTAGCCAAATCATTGTCCAATGGTACAAATCAGAGAATTCTGCGTAGTTTATAGTGCTGCGATGATCATATAGAAATTCTGTTCATGGTATGATGAAATAAAACCTACTATAAAGTACTTAATTTTCGCTTGGAATTAATTTTCGCTAATTTCGCTGAAGGAATGATTCAGTGAAAATAAAATCCAGCGAATATACCTTTTTTCCTATATTTTACATTCAACTCGTGAAAATAAATTCAATACAAAACAGCCAGCTAAAATTAATTATTTCACAGTAATCTGCTAATACTTTATTACATTCATAGAAATTCATGGTTTCTGTGTTCACACATAAATGTATATACGGTCCCCAAGCTAACACTTGAACGGACTACTATGATAACACCTTTCAAATTTCAACAGCAGAACTGCATTAGTAACTTTCTTGACAATACCAGCACATACAATGATAAAATTCTGAATGCCAAAGCTTTGTCACCTATCACAGCATAAACCCGCATAATTTGTCAACATTATGCCAAAAATTATGGGAAAAAATTATAGAAAATAACAGAAAATGCAAAATATTCACACTGGTTGGAAAAATATCTATAAAATATATTGAATAGCCAACACTTTATATCGAGATATTATACAACTTCATAGACAGTAGTAATGAATGCAAGTTTGTTTTCCTTTGTGAAGGGGGATAAGTAAAAAAAAAAAATGGTGGACATTTTTTTCATAAAATTTATGGCTGCCCATGAGGCAAGCATCAATCAGATTTTGAGAGAGACCTGGATCTAGTTATCAGGAATGTTCGGAAGGATTCTTCACCATTGGGAGAGCTTAGCACTCTCTTTACAAACAGGCGAAACTCAACTAATGACCAGTGCCCTCTATTGACTTTACCTGTAAACAGAACATCCCCGCCATCAATTATAGCATTTTCATCAAGGATTTCGTAAAGATCTAATTTACATTCAAGTTGCAGTACACGTCGAATACTCTCCACCTAGAAATATAAGTGAATCAATTGTAAGTACACTAAGTTACGGTATGTACACAATATAGGTACAATATGTTGATGATATAAATTTGAATGCAGGCTACACAAGGAACACAGCCCTTGGTTATTAAAAGCATAACAAATTTGTATGAAACATTATTTTAAATAATATATCCCCACAGCACCATATTGGATGAGAAGGGTCTATGGCAAAACAATGTGCGATCCTTTCCCAAATCCAATATTAAGCTGTGAGGGATTTGTTATTGTTGTTACTGGGTAAATACCACCACCATCAGAATTAAACAAATTTAGTTGAATTCAGGGAGTTTTTGCTGAAATATTTTTATTTGCGAATAGCATTTAAATACTAGACTAGTGAGGATGATTTTAAATACAAATTGGCATTGGGTAAACAAAAGTACATCATGATGAATACTGTTGGTACCCCGGTATATAACACAACAATCATAACTATCAAAAAATGTTCATTTATAAAAAAAATTCAACTATAAATTCATGAAGTTCCTGTTTTTTTTTTTTTTAATCAGAATCAGGTTACATGTATGTGGCTAGAGGTAAAAAGACTGCAGTTCCTGCATGGAACAACACATGTATACTTCTCCAATGTGTTAAAATCATTGCATTTCCACCGGGATTTCACTCAAGAACAACAATTATAATTCCCGATAGTTAATAAAAAGAACTTCGCAATTGGAAAGTGAAAATTTTAGCATTTTGGGGTGTTTTGGGATGAGACAATCACCAACCAACAGTGATTACATCTATAGTTATTCAAACAGATCACACAGGGCATTGCTGAGGATAATCCCGTTCCTATATGCATATTCATATCGACGAGCCCGAGGTCATTGTTCTCTTGATTTAGGTGTTTAACTCAATTTTGCCTCCGATTTATTAATTTTATTGACATTGTTTTCGATAAAATAAAATGAAGTCGCTTGTGTTACATCAGACGTTAGTGGTTGTATAAAAAACCATGTCGACCCATGGGGTGTGAGACACTCTGGTCATAGTTACGTTGCAGGACCTGGTGACTTTGACAAAGTCAGCAACACTGAAAAATCTTGCATGATTTGTGGTGATCAAACCAACCTAAAGTTATCACAAACATTATACTATGAACTTCAGTTCCATGAACGGGGAAAATCAGATTCTTGGTCACCATGTATGAACAACTGATGTTAATTTTTCCCCCTGGAGAATGCGGTGATCGGAATGAATATATGTCAAGCTTGAATACTGTAAAATCTGTATTAGAAGCCACGGCCTTCTATTAAAATGGTACAATACAACAGAAGGGATGCCATTTTTATTAGAGCATCTACATATCTGAGAAATGATGAATTTTTGTTTTCAATTGTTCAAAAATAATGGGTGTGACATCTATTAGGGATGTGGCTTTAGTGTTCTTCCCAGGAATTTAAACCACTGTAGCAGACTAATTTGCATATCATTTACATAATAATTTGCATTTGATAGCTACAATATTTCATACTTTATTCCCGCAATACAGTGCACCGGATAAACAATGAAAAAAAACCTGTGGTGGTCTTGCTAATCACCATGGCGGTGTCAGACCAGTGAGGCGGAAAATTGAAGCACTGTGGTCGGACCGCCACGCTGTTTACATCCTGGGGAGACCACTGGCCTTATAGTAGAGATTTATTGACAAATATATGATAAAACATGTCATTCATTATTAATGTCCATGGTGGGTGGGTGGGCTTGTGTTATAATTAGATAAACAACCTAGTAATATGCAGTAAATTTGGACAGAGGCTTTTACTCGGACAACTATGATAATTAAATCAAGCTTATTCCTACACCTACTTTCAGTTTAAACGGAATTTATTTGTTTCCTGATTACATTTATGAAAACCGTAAACTGATGCATCATGGGAAGTCAGTCAGGCGCAGGATACAGCATCACTAAATATTTCTGTAAAACACATTGAAATACATGTAGCTACATACCATTTTAGCAAATTTGACTCAATGCATGAATTATTGAATCTTAATTTAGCTAAAATGCCAATAATCTTACTGTAAGAATATACTCTATTCTAATTAGCGAAATCTTAATTTAGCAAAAATGCAGATTAAGTAAATTAGCTAAAATAACGTGCTAGCTAAAAAAACATGTTTTACAGTAATTTCCATACCCCACAAAAATAAAGGCGAGGCCATGTTGTTCTGAAATATTACTATACAATACATAAGAGTCACTCATACATTAATAACCAAGCAATAATTCAGGACATCTGTCCATACAGTTACATGTAATTTATTATTCTTAAAATTCCCTATACACGTATGCTACTGCATGGTCATATCGATATTGTAGCTATAATCGTAATACTGTCACCGCATTCATTGCCACATTACAATACAATACATTAGGGACACGTGATCACACAATACCAATAATTTTACTGCACAGCCATATTGATATCAAAGCTACAAATGTGATACTGGCACTGCATTCGTTGCCAGGCAGTATCAGGTACTGCAAGTGACTCTACTTATAAATTTAATTATGAAAGCAGAGTATTTAATTTCTTTAATCCTCTTTCTCAGCTGACATCAGCAAGCTTGTTACAGGTGACCTCCAGTTCTACAACAGATGTGTACTGGTACTCGCTCACAGTATTGAACATATGATACCAAATATTCTGCAGTCTCTCAGTGTTTTCAAAATTTGTGGTTCTGCGACAAGTTAGTTGAAATCATACGGTACCGGTATTTCTACTATTTAAACAATAATGAATCCTCCCACAATGCCATATCGAATGCATGGGTCTATGATAAAATAATGTGCGAGGCAAAGCCGAATAACTTACAGCGTTGATATGGCACAGGGGAGGGGAGCTTCAGCATTGTTGTTATGAATCACCACCATCAGAATTAAACAAATTTAGTTAAATTTGGTGAATTTTTTGAAATTAATTTACTTCCAATGGAGGTTTCCGTTATCGTGTGATAATATAAAGATATGACATTTTAAAAATTCTAATTCTAATAGTAGTTGGGATTTATAATAAGAGATAGTAGATAGAAACACTTCTATGAAGCAAATACTCACCATTTTGATTACAATGAATTAACATGTGATCACAAGCATACAATTCCATTTCAAATTCAAACCCCCACATGACTATATTTTCAATATCCAATTTTACAATGGCTGAATGCAAAGTACGGTAATAAAAAATACTGAATCTTCCGCAGAGGGATATTGCAATGTTTTGAAGAACAAATTGATAGGGACATAGTGGTTTTCATGATCAGTTTATTTTGGAACCCACTGTAAAATAATGTTGTTTATATCGTATTTTGATAGGAACAGTGATGTTATTTGCACAGCAGTTCGTATGTCGTATTAACCTAATTCGAAGCATACATGTACGCATGTTATAATTATTTCATTGGATGATGTTTATGGCCAATGCTACATTTTCGTTTATGATAAATCATATCAATAGAATGCAATAACTAACACATATTTAGCCTACTAAAATTTTAATTTAGATATATTTTCCCAACCCATGTATTAATGCAGAGAAGATTGAGTTATGCTTATATTTACATGCAATCTTCTTGTATCAAATGGTCGACATTATTAAAATGCAAGTACATGTACGTGTATGTACAAATGTTTTCACAGGGTTCTGAATGGCTTCATTTTCAGCATTATAAATGTTTTTTATGGCATTTGTAAAGACAAAATTTTGAGAAAGTTGCTGATTGTGACAGTAAAAATATTGGTTGACACCTGGCAAGGGAAAATTTATTTAATTACAAGATGATTCACAGAAAGACGTATTAAAAATTAATACGCTTGGTAACTAATAATTGTCTGCTTTTTAGAGATGTACATGTACAATATGAAAACAATGTAATCCACATTACATTTATTGTATTTTCAATTTATTTTGATCACATACACATATTAAAGCACACGCATCACTAAAAGAGTAATTACGGTAATTACGATTACCTATATATAAATCTGAGCATTTAATGATGACTTGACTGCACAGAAATTTGGAAAATTTAATGTTATAATTCATTTCTATGACCAAATGAAATACACAAAAGAACTCTGATTCATTACAAAGTTAGATGTCAGCAATACAATAAAACCAATACTGCCATGTAAATCAAATCAAACAGCTATTAAAATAGAATTCAATCGAAGGGCATTAATAAATGAACAACAGAAGCGTGACCATGACAATGCCAATCTGTCAATTACAAATTCATCTCAATACATATGTTCACCTTTGTGAAATATATTTGCTTTTGTACTGGGAATTGAACAGTTGTACAATATGTCATGTACCATATACATGGCATTTGTAAATACTATTCAATTTTCAATGCTTGGAATTCTCATTATTTGATGTTTGTAAAGGCAAAATTTAGTGATAAGTTGCTGATTATTTAATTACAAAAAGAATCAAAGAAAGACGTATTAAAAATTAATACGTCTTCCAAACAAGAAGCTTGGTAACTTGGTAATAAGTCTGCTTATTGGAGATGAACAACATGAAAATAATGTGATCCAAATTATTGAAATTTATAATCCCCAAACTAATTATTTTTTGTATTGTCGTAGAATTAATTATGTTCATGTACCAAGATTCATTGAAATAATACAAGTACATGAGATATTAATAGGAAAGCAGAAACCTGACTAATCATTATGCAAATAAGGTAATTAATATGCACAGATTTTAATGTAAAACTAATAAGGTGCCCAATGTAACATATCAATGTACCAAGTTTTATTGCAATACGATTAGAACTTGAGATATCGATGGAAAAGCATATTATGAAATAGTATGCAGATTACTAGTAGGTAATTAATATGCACAGATTTAAACCACAACTAAACAGGTCTGTGCAATGTCATATGACATCTATGTACAAGTTTCATTGAAATGTAATGATAAGTACTTAAAATATCTGGGGAAAAGCCAAAAATGTACTAATTATGCAAATTAGGTGATTAATATGTATTCAAAACCAATTAGGTCTGTGCATAGTCCTAGAGCATCTACCGGTATGTACCAAGTTTGATTGTAATGTGATGATTAGAACTTTAAATATCAGTGGAAAAGTTGAAAATTGAAAATTAATACATGCATGAATTTTTACCCAAAACTAATCAGGCCTGCACATTTTAGCTGCCGTGTTTTTACTGTTTATTCGAGACTACTAGTACCTTAATCATAACATCAGTGTATTGTCTTTTCTACCTCCGTGGTCAGACTGTTTCTCCCAGCTCAACAGCTTTGTGTCATGTAAATGAACAACACAAGCACAACACAAAAACCATGTTTTTTTTTGTTCATACTAATTATTTGAGGGCACTGTTCCGTTCGGCTCTGATCAAACTGAATTTAACTCTGGCAGATCTCGGCTCTCGTTCGCCTTCGACTATGTGAACGCATTGAAAATAATCTCCTGTTAATCAGTGGGAGGAGCAGTAGTTCGGCTCCGATAGAATGCTGCCATGTGAACATAGCAATAGAGGCAAAACTATTTGAAATGTGCTTCTAAATTCTAATGGTTCAAGAGCAAATACAATTATCCCTAAATACATCCACAAATTAAAAATCACCATGGTTAATTATTGACAAAACAAACCTGATATGATATTTGGTATAAAACATGTTTTCTCAGCAACCACAACATAATGCTACCTAATAATGCTTTTCTAAGCAGGTTGATTTCAAACTACAATCATGAATATGATACTATGATATTAAAACCTCTTAATCTATCGATGTAGGAACAATGAATTTATTTATTTGAATATCCTACCCTGTTTTAGAACACATCCTTCGTACCCTACAGAAGAATGGAATCAGCTGACAGCCTATCAAATGTATATGGATCAGTAAATCTATACTCAATTTAACAAAGTTCTGGAGACTCCTTTGGAATTCAATTTGACATCCGTTTTAACTGGATGATGTTAAAGCAGCTAAAAGCATTCCCAAGTGTTCTTGATATACATTTGTTCTGTATCAAGACTTTACATACAAGTAGTTAATGGAATGGAATACTGTGCCCCCCCCCCCAAATTATTATTTTTTACTAGCTCCTTATCAGAGGGTTTTTCGCCAGCAGACTGAAGAAAAGTTATTTTCAATATCACTTTGTATAACTGCTTTAATGATAGATCAAATTATGACAGAATGGACATTTAATTCAAAAAGCAACTCCATATGCTATCAGAATTCTACAATGATATCACCATAAAAACTCTAAAATTTTGACCACTTTTAAATAGTTTGCTTTGAAAAATGGTCAGTTTTTTGAATACAAAATACCGATAAATTTTTGGCAAGTCCAATTTTTCAGAGTGAAAATTCAACAAATATAAAAGTTGGGTTATATATAGTTATAGAAAGTCGTGTCTCTAAACAAACCATTTTAGTAAAAATAAGTGAGCAATTTCTGGCGAGGGCAAAATTTTGGAGGTCAATAAATTACAAAAATCCGTCAAATAACCAGGCGGCTGAATTTTTACGGTATATTACATCTGTCAAGTTCAGGCTATACCAAGTAGGAGCTAAAATTTGGAAGAATCTCATATATTTGCATATTTGTTAGACCCAATTGCATTCATGCACAGGAGGGAACAACAGTTAGCACAGGCTTAGAAACAATCAAACTTGTTAAGAATATACAAACCTTCAGTCTTTTTAATGGTACTCATGACTACAGTAACCAGGATAGTTTTATAACATATAGTGTAAAAGGATTAATTATTCACTGGGTTTTGCTTATTTCACTGACTGGAAATGCGCTAATTTAAAACCCAGTGAACAAGTAAAACTTAGCATAGAACACATTATCTAGTACAGTAAACTTTCCTGGTTACTAAATGTATACTAAAGTACATAATGCAAATACTGAGAATGCATATTGTGGAATAACCGGAAATAGTACAGAGTTTCATCACAACAACCCCCCCCCCTCCCATACTGCACATGTGAATATTTTTACTGGAAAGAAATTCTGTTTGTTTTGTACAGAGTTTGTTTTCAATGATTTTCAATGAAATTCGCACTGGACCAACTCAACATGTGTTGAGTATTGATCTGTGGGATGAATGACCACATCAAACTTGTATAGCAAATGCAGTAACTTAAGTCGGCCATCTTGGAACATGGTGCGTGTAAAGCTGCTTTATTAGACTTTCCAATGTAATGAAACCGGATTGAACCAGATAGAGGTTTCTGATTTATATGTTCTGAGTTTAATGTTCATATTTACGTTTTGTTTGTTCAATTCAAAGGACCTCATAAATGCTTTAAAACTAGACCGACAGGCACAGTAGCCGTCTGATAAAAATGCATGCAGAAAACTAGGAGACTAATGGGAATGTGTAGAAGAAGGAGGACTCACAAAATAACACAATTCAACATTAAACATTGCATAAATTAAAAGTGTATTGTAAACCATAGACGGTTATATCTCAACGACTAACACAGATCTGTGAAGTCAGGAATGAAAAGCTCCATTAATTGAGACATTCAATGTTCGGGAGAACAGAGGGGCTTTTCATTCTTTGAAACATAACTGACAAGAGTTGCACAAATAATGCCTGGGGGCTGGTGATCTTTGACCTCTCAGTGTCAATTACTGTACCTTTGTCATTTAAGCAGTTTAAACTTATTTAAGTGTTATCCTTATAAAGCTTTAAGAAAGTGGGACAAAATTTTAACAAAATTTTTTCAGAGCATACTTGAGAAATGACGGGAAAGATATGACACATTTAAAATGCAGATTGAGATGTAATTCATGTGTAGAGTACAATGGCAATTATACCCACAACTTGCACATGGCCCGATAATACTCAAACATTGCGAGTGTTTCTACTCTAGTGACAGAGTCTGAAAGGGACCTACCTCTTTTCGTCTAGAAGGATGGCCAGGTCTGGTTATCAAAGCCACTCCATTGTGAATTACAGCTGTATCCTCAACAAACACACAGTCTGGTAAAGCTTCATCTGCTGGCAACTCAATCACATCCAAACCAAGCTACAAACGAAAATAAAAAAAAAAAAAACATTTGTTAAAACAACGAGCCACTGCATTTGATGCATTTGTATCTGCAACCCTACAACACAGAATACATAACATAATTATATTGACAATACTTTTTAACAATTTAATAAATTCACTTGTAAATTTTTTTAAATGTAGTTGAATAATTGGTTGTGGGGATGAACAAACGTTCAATGGCTATGACTAATCACAAAAAGTTAGAATGGAATTCACAAGAAGCTCAAAATTTTTTTAACAGAATGCATCAACCAATCACAGGCTTTGAATACTTGTTCATTTCTGCTGTGTTGGAGTTTTTTTTTATGATTGGCCATTGGTCAAAAAACTTGCAGAATCTTTAAGATGTTGGTTAGAATTTTCAAGAGTCTGTGCTTAATAATATGAGGTTATTACGAGGATACCTCAAAGTATGCACAAAGACAGTACAGCTAGAGTATCGACAGCTGCTTATTATTAGAGGGCGCATAATAATTCCATATTCGGAATTCGCATTTTCTTGTATGGTAGGATGAAAATATCCTGTAATATACCGCAAAACTATGGCACACTGTAACTTACATCATAGACCATTTAAGGTATATGCTTACATGTATTATAGTATACAAGTCAAAACAACAAGGAATAAATTTAAATATTAATGAAAATAATCCTCACTTTAAAAATGACAAGTTTTTACGATAAAGCAAAACCAACTGATAGATGCCTTGAGACTGCATTGTACAACTTTTACATAAATTGTGTGATTGAAATATCCATACATGGTGCTTTATATGCGCCAAGTAAAATTATCTTAAATTGCACAAATCTGTTTTCTCAAAGTCTAGGGAACAATTAAATTTAGAATTATGACATTACGTGAGTAAAGTGATTGCATCCCTTCTTGCATGGGCTTTCAGAAGAATACAACAAAACAAACCAATTTCTAGGACACACTGACCTGTTACCCAATCTATTGAGGCAGTTAAGCTTGCCTGTAATTACCACTTTATGGTCTGCTATATTTTATAGAGGATTTTAACCTTTCTAGATAAGCTTCCAGATGTAAGGCATACTCGCACTAATTCACTGTTGGTATTTAAGTTGTTGAATATATTGCAAAGATCTTACACTAGTTAGAATGTAAACACCCGACACATTGTGTTTATAAAGCACATATTCTTATGCAATTTCTCATGCAGCATGTAAGTCTAACAAAAATGTAAGTGCAGAAGCAGTGCATGCAGCAGCTCCATGTTATTATGCAAGCGGCTTTAAATAGCCTCTTTAGACCTCAAATTGACATTACTCTGACTAAATTGTTGCCCCACCTCCGGATTTCTTTTTTTTTTTATGGGATTTCTTTTTTTTACCAATGTTGATGACCCTGATGACCATAGATCATTCACATGTACTGCATATAAAGCAAATTTGCAGACTGTCTCCAAAAGTGTTATTAATTGGACACAGTGTTTGAGAAAGAGAACATAAAACCTTGCATCCATTAAATAGTCTCCAACGGTGACACAGATGCCATTTGTTTGCAAAGCTTTTCAAGTCTGCCTCGATTTGGCAATATTTAGTGACACTATCTCCATATACTCAGTACTGGATAATAATGAAAGTTATTTACATAAAACTCTGTCATGTTGGGTCAAGCAACTTACTTGTGAAACATGCTTTGTGTACATGTACAGTGTACATCGACTTACATGTATATTTACGTGTAAAATTTGGTTTAATTTGGTTGAAAATGCAGAAATAATAGAATCCCATCACAAAACGCACACTCTCACATATATGTATATGTTGGCATGTTTTTTGTTGTCATTTTTTACTGTTATCTCTTCTTAAATTATTATTACAAACAGAGAATAAATATTTATGAACAGAATCAGATGAGCCTCCCCTAACATTGTATATGTCAGTCAATATAATCACCAATCTACATGTACCTTTGTGCATACAATGTACTTTGTGATATTCACAATATAACCTATTAGTACATGTATCTAGGTGAGATGTACATACAGTAGAAGGTTTACACTGCCTAGATAATATTTACAGTAACAATATATACATGTAGTTTAAGCGTAGTCCCTTGCGAAGGTGCATGTCTGCAACTACATGTACAAGCAACAGATGACGACATACATAAAAAATACATATACTTTATTAGTAGTGCATGCACAAAAGGCCAGACTTTTATTATCCCTTGTTTCGTGAAACCACCAAATGAACAGGAGCCGAAAATGAAATAAAAATAAAATTTTCTTTCAGGGTAATTTCTCTCTTGTAAACACAAAAAAAAATATTATTTTTATCTTCATTTTTTTACCGCCCACCGCATAACAAATCCAAGTTGCATTTTCGTGGGAGTATCATGATCAAAGTACCGAAGTCTCACGCAGATGAGAAACAAGGTTATACATAGAATAAAATCTTATTTCATTTCTTCTCTCCGATCAATGATCTCGTTTACAATTCTTTGAAAATCACACAAATCTAACGGGAAAAAAAGAATTAATTATAATTTTTTTTTCGCCCTCCTCAAAAAAATTGCCTTATAAAAACTTGAGAAACAAGGAATAAAAAAAGTCTGGCCTAAATAACACTAGACACATATATGCATATTCATGTCCGCACAGCTTACACTCAAGAATGAATAATATATTGTCTAACCCACAGTCCCTTAAGAATGTAAATGTCTGAGTCTACTAGCAACAGATGACAAGATACATAAAACATAAAACATATATGCTCTATTAGTAGAGCATGTGCAGAGGTGTTTCTACGTTCAAAATATGTAATACAATATATTTTAATGATTCAAAATACAATAAATGCAATTTTTTGTTTTGAACATGTACCGTATTTCTCACAGAGTACAATATGTATAGTATCAAGCAATGGGACTGTTTTTAACAAGAAGTTGAAAATATCACTTTTTACCAAAAATTACAAAAATATTCACCAAAATTAGAGAATTGAAGATATCATTATGAAATGAACAAATCTGAGAGAGGTCCACATGTAGTACCTATATATGTAATATCAAAGCAATTCGACTTGCGGTTTTCAACAAGAAGTCGAAAATATAACTTTTTACCAAAAATGACAAAAATATTCACCAAAATTAAAGAGTTAAAGATATCATTACAAAATGAACAAATCTGAGAGAGGTCTACCCAAGGTACATATACACCAAGTATCAAAGCATTCAGGCTTGTAGTTTTCAAGAAGCAGTCAAAAAAGTAAAACATTGACACGGACGATGACGAACAATCACTCATATGATAAGCTCCGCTCGACCATGTCGACAGCGGAGCTAATAATGAGTTTGGAGACTACCATTTCTCTCAGGACCTAAGAATAACCCTGAAAAGAAGTTTACAAACCATTTCCTCAAAAATAACAACTGCTCAGCTGGCAGATGTATGATAGTGGGCAGGTTTTAACAGTCATCGGACATCTACATTGTATATAACTTGATTGCTGCGACACCCGGCTGAAACTTTTTGTCTTTTATTTGATTTCTGTGTACATAATGATGCATTAATTCACAATGACTAGAACATACCAATGTAGATCTATTAAACAGGTCTAACAGCTATTATAACATGATGCATCCATAATCCTTTTAAAGCACAAGACACCACAGGGTGGCCATATGATGAACAGAAAGAAAAGACGTAATTAGGTACGCCTGAAATCAACTGTACAGTGGGATTCACATAGAAATCTACATCTATCAGACCCTCAAAGGTGATTTATTTAATACTTTAATAAATCAAATTATTATAATTACCTTCATGTAGATTCTAGAGATGATAAAGTCACAAACATTGAGGAACAAAGCTAGGAGTTTTTGGATTAATGACAAGTTTGAGAATCAAAATCGCTTTTAAATGTGAAGGCTTCTGCTTGAATTGGCAGGTGATGTTATTTCAAATGTCTTAATGTTCATATCGTATTTTTTAATCGCAAAGTGGATCATTTTATTCACCTGAGAACAAACATTCAAAAATGAGTTGCGTATTAAAAATATATGTATACAAAGGCAGTTTCCGGGGTGCCCAGAATGTGCACAGAAAAAATCAAAGATGAAGCATAGATTCAAATTAGAAGTGACCAAAGTCACAAAAGGCCAATAATAATTCTGATGCCAGGGTTAGCCTTTTCTGAAGACTTGACTACTAGAAATTTATAAATAATTAAAACAAGAAAGCAAGCCAAGCTAGTTTCAAGCCAGCTATACCGTATGTTATTAGTTAAACTCTGTACTATTGAGGTTCATGTAAAAGAGGAGATACTTTTTTCGAAATTTTTTATATGGAAAGTGTTTTTTTTTTTAAATTATTTGGGAACACGACGTTCATGTACGCGAGATAAAATAAATCTTCTATTCCTTTACATTTTTTAAGACAATTTCATGCATAAAAACATGAGATATTGAAACAATTAGAACATAGTTGATATTGACCATTAGAAATTCATGGGACACGGCAGGCTTGACATGTAGACGACCCCCCCCCCCCAAAAAAAAATGCAGTGAACATGATCAGACAAAATGGTATGAACATAAATAACACGCACACACAATAAATTAAAAGAAAAAGTGAATTTTTAAAATGTTCTACTCCTAACCAATAAAAACATTTATAACGCAGTGAATTTCCTAATCTCTCATTCATATTTCAAAATTTCCTGCAATTCCCTTGAGAAAGACAATCTAATCAAAAAGCACAGGCCTCTGATATGAAAATATGCTCATTATCTTTTACAGAAACGATGGAAGCTCTTTAAAAACTGTGGGAAAATTACCAGGTGCATAGAAAAAGAAAGTACTGGGGTAGTAAGTAGTGAAAACGTGTTGTATCTCAAATCCATTGAGAGATTGACAAGATTCAAATTACAGTGCACTGTGACACCGACTTAACATTTATTGAGAATTTTGACATACGATGATACACATTGACCCTATTTATTGATTATATTAAATCTGATTAATTGCATTCACATGGCGACAAATTAAATCATGGGAAAATAAAGAATTTGAATGAAATTCCTGATAATATAAATTCATTTTGGTTTTTTGTATGTCAAGGTTTCCATATAAAATTAGTATTTAATCATTATCTGATTTGAAATACCGTTAATAGAAGCAAATTGATGGTAAAATTAGGTTGTAAAGTGATGCAGTAAACAAGTCTTATATTGCTAGGGGGAAAGTAATTCTAGTTATGCAAGGTACCAGTGCATTATTTATATAAACAAGTAATTGCATTACATAGTCCCTGTGAGTTATCTAGTTTAAGAAATATATACATAATTTTAACATTAATGGTTGAAGATTTGGCTTGAGAACTGCATTCACTATAACAAAATGACCACCAGTCGGCCATTTTGAATGCTTTCCATACCATTCAAAATGACTTGCATTAAGGTTCCATGATGTTCAATGAGATGTATCCATCCATCCATACACGACTCAAAACTGGATTTTGATTTTGATCAATTTTAAGATTAAAATGGCAGCCTTTCGGTCATCTTGAATCAGAGCCCCCTCCCCCCCCAAAAAAAACGTGAAAACG